AATAACCAGTTTAATGGGGTAGTATGACACCAGGCAGATTATGCTCCTGAAATTTGGCTTATAATTCAAAATCAACAGTCTAAAACCCCTAAACGTGAGTTGTGTGTGTCTCTTAAAATCAAAAGAAAAATGTTAAGAGGACTATAAACTTTTCTGGGATATGCAGTTATATTTTCCTATGCTGTGTGGCTTCTGGTTAGATTGTTTTATGCATAAGGACAATTACATTTTAGTTTAAGAGTAGAGGGTATTGTTTCTATAGATGTTTATAATGCATCATCGATTAAATGTTATGCACACTTATCTAAACGCCTAACTACCTTTTCAGTGCTGGCTATGAACATCACACTGCTTGTTAAGTTGTCTGTTAAAGTTACTACTGAATGTAAATTGGATTCATAATTGCTTCATATGCACCTGAGACATGAGATTTGGTTGACTTTAGAGTTTGGATTTTTCATGTGTTACAACTGCAGTCTGCCGACCAGACTCTGAGGAAAAGTCCATCAGAGTTTGTAAATTATTTGGTTGATAACGGGATTCCCTAAAAGTAGGGCCTTGTTATGTTTTTGTCATTGATGGCATATCTTTATGCTTCACTATTGATCTGAACTCTATGACTTTATACAACCATTTAGATGATCCTCTAGAATAGTGTTCTGGAATCATTTCACGGTGTTTATTAATTTGATGTTTTGTTTATCCTCTCTGCTCAGAAAGAGGTTATGAGACAAGTTTTTAATATGCATCTACATTAGAGTCTTATTTGCAAGAGCAGCTTTCAAATACATATGAGAGAAATCATTCTTAAATTACTGAATATTTGATGTTGCAATATATGTTTTTATAGCATAATGTTCTTAAGTAGATTCCTAGTACTGAGGCATTATTCCTGTTCTTCACTATACTAAATCTATTTTCAAGGGTTACGTTTTGTTAAGATTTCAAAAATACAAGGTCTCTGTTGTTTTAAATAGGCTCTCCCTGTATTTATTTATTTGAAATCCACCCAGTTAAAAGCTATTTGTTCATGCTTTGATCATCTCTGAAGAAAAAAATAGCTCTTGATCCACAAAGTATGTAAGGTGTTGAGCTAGTTTTTCATTTCTTGGTTATATATGACATGTACATACAGCAACAGCCATTTCAAAATAGTGCTATTGTCCTCATTGATTTAGTCTTATAACCTAACTCACCACGCAGTGGTCATATAATTGAACTTAGTCTATACAATCGAATATTGTAGTAGGTTCAAAATGGCTTACGAAGTCTTTTGTTTCCAGGCCACTGGCCGTAATGCTTTAAAAGTATATTATTGCTATTAACTGCATAAATGCTCACAATAAATATTTAGGGGTAGTTTTTTATGCCTTTCCAATTTAAAATCTTTACATGCAAAATTTAGCTTTTGATGATTACTCAGACATTCAGTATTAGCTTTTGTCACAGCAGGTGCATAAAAGTTGTGACCTCTGAGGGCACAATGAGTTGGGTCAAAATGATGCCATTATCAGTGGTGTTACCTGACTTTGTGTAAAGTCTCAGTTTTCACCCAAATGACTAATCACTGCAATGCAGATGAAGCTGAACTGTCAGTGC